CTTTGTTTGTCACGAAGTTTTTCTGTTTCTTAATACTCTGCTTAGCTTTTGGAAGGCTACTTTGGCTCTCCTAATTCGCCTTCGGATATCACTGTTGCACTTTCCGTCCTCCGTTAAAACTCTTCACAGATATTTAAATTTTTGTTTTTGTATGATTTTGATATCTCTGATTTGTAATTTGTATTGTGGCCTTCTAAATCGTAAACAAAAAAAACTAAATGTGTTTGATGCGTGCCTGAAATATTTGAGGTTATATAATGAATCGTAATAATTAAACAAAGGCTATCAGCTTGTGTGAATTTGTAACAATCCAGAGACATAAAGCCAAATAGTCAAGGCTTTGTGATAAACAAAAGATTAAATAAACGGCAAATTCTGTCTGTCCGTCCATGTGTCTGAAACTCCTCTAACTCGAGCCACACTTGCTCTATATAGACATATTGTAATTTTTTGGAATCAGGATACCATAATCCTTGTCTTCAGTTCATCTTTGGTGTTACAAGGAGTTTTGTTAGTCTCTCACTCAACTGAGCCCCACACATAATAATCAAGCGGAGCAGTCTGGGGAATTAAGTAGCCAGATGTAATTGTCTGACAGCCATGACTGAAGACTCCCGCTTGTGTAGTATGGTGCAGAGTCCAGTTACTGGACATAGGGTCTTCCAGCAGCCACCCTCTTGACCCAGGGCAGCACTACCGCCTCAGGGCACTTGATATAGATATCTGTGTTGTGTCTGAGGTGGTGTGAGAAGATGAATGGAGGCATAACATTGGCATCACTAGTGAAGACAACAGACATCTTCGTAATCACCATTAGACTCATCCAACTCCTCAGATTGACACTCAAACACTCTGCAATGTTCGTATTGGAGCTTCCGATGCGAATACTAAGCAGTACAGAATGCCGTTCCCAAATTTCTGGTGGAGTGAATTGCGTCATGGTGCTCTTTTTCTCACAGACGGTGCCCAACTGACCCTACTATACTGTGCAGTTGACAAAATCAAAAACAACGCGCATGTGCAAAATTAAAACTATAAAATGGCGAAATTTTATAATACCCTATATTATATATATATATATATATATATATATATATATATATATATATATATATATATATATATAATTATTTATTTAAAAAATATGATTCAACACGCTACATAAGAGGAAAATGTTTCAAAATTGAAAACTTCAATATAATTATTTGAATTAATTTGAATTAAAATTGTTTCTGTTCCATCTTCAAGCGAAATATTTTGGAATTTTTTTTTCGCTTGAAGATGGAACAGAGCTTACTTTAATTCAATTTAATTCAAATAATTATATTGAAGTTTTCGGCTCTTGTTTTGAAACATGAGAACTTTTATGTAGCGTGTTGAATCATATTTTTAAATAAATAATTATATTTATGGTCTACTTTTGTATCGAGCACTATTTTTTTTAAAATAATAACAAAAATACTAAAGAACTTTGGATTATTTACCTAACGAGTTCTTTCCTATATATTTTCACACACACACACACACATATATATATATATATATGCACACACATACAAACATACAGTTAGAGAGTATGAGACAGTTAAGAAAAAGGATAAATAGCCATGACATTTTACACATGTACACAGGCTTATATACACACACACACAAACACGCACAGACAAAGAAGAAAAAATCAAAGGCCAATAAAAAATGAGTAATTTTTTTTCAACTTAATATAAAAATATCGAAAATGAAAAAATCGGCAGACAATTGCTGATACCTCATGACAAGTGGACATATAAGTTTCGTCTTTGAAACCCTGAAGTCGGAGTTCTGAATATAAGATCAAGTAAGTGAGAAATTTTATATTTGTATTAATCCTATATATATATATATATATATATATATATATATATATATATATATATATGAGAGAGAGAGAGGATTATTACAAATATGAAATTTCTCAGGTAATTGATATATATATATATATATATATATATATATATATATATTGTATGTATGTATACTTGTATGTATATATAACATTGATGTTTAGATAGAAAGTTCAAGGGAAAATGGCATTACCTTTTAATGAAATTTTTAGCGTCTTCTTCATGAATTTCGGCGCAGTACTTGATTGGCGACAACGCCTCGCCATCTTACAATTGAAATGGTTAGATTTAACCGTAAGTTCTATGGTAACAGTTTCTTCTATTGCAGTTCTTGCTTATGGAACACACCACCGACTTCTTGCTTTCCTGTCAATTTTGATCTTCAAAAATTTTAATGTAATGTCAATCGTTATCGCATGTCTTCTTAATTCTTCTTCTTTTACTGTTCTCTATCCATAATAGCATTTTTCTTATACTCTCTGCCACTCGCGCCCTAATGGCTACATTGCCTGGCTTGGCATGAAATGATTAAAACAAAATTAAAAAAATAAAAAGATGTTTTTGCTATAATTCTTGCATGCCCCTAGTGAATGCGTGTATATAAAAAAGGTACTTTTTAAAAATAATTTTCTACGTCTTTTTTTTTCTATATTACGCGCAAAAGAACACGTGCCTAGATCTGCTGAATGCAAATATTGTCCACACATTTGGGATTTTAGTGAAAAGGTCTTATGTTCAACGAAACAAAAATGGCTATTGTAGTTAAAAGCATATTCTGTACTATTTGCTTATCATAATCACTCATTTAGATAAACACATAAGTTTTTATGCTCGACAAGCAGCCATCGAAATATGAAAGCATACATAATAATACAAATAACGAATTCACATACAGATGCTTACAATTATCCATTTAATGTCCACCACAACCAGAACGAAATATATTCAATAAAAGAGTGATTCAAATTATTCCCTATATTTTGCAGCTACAACGAGAACCAGGAGCCTTCTCGATCTTCTATTCCTTTCACAGGCATGGCTGATGCTAACCACCAGGAGAGAAACTACGTTTTCTCGGTTTCAAATTTTTCAAGCTTTGTACCAAATCTAACTGCCACTTATATAGATCCGTTCACATCAAGGTGGGTGTCCCCGAGGGCGCTTTCATTGGACCTACGTTGTTTCAGAACTTCATCAACGAGCATTCCGATGTCATCAGATGGTATTTATCAATCCACCCACGGGGATCGAATGTGGCACAAGGCCTTTTTAATGTGGGTATCTCTGAGCCCGTAGGCCCAGCCAAAAATAAATAACCATCCAAACCCGCCGAGGCGGGCCAGTTCCGTCAACCTCCCCCAACGAAACCCTACCCTTCGGCGGAGCTTCGTCCGGGTTCCTCTCTGCAAGCAGAGAGTTCGACAGACACCCGACCCGGCAGCTCACAAAGCGCAGATACTACACTTTGATCCTAGCCACCGGGCCGAACGGGTATTCTTTTTATCCGATGTCATCAGATCCCAACTCGGCATTTCTGCTGATGACAACTATTTACTTCTGTCTTAATACTAAGTCCGATAGGTATGCTCTTGAAAAGTAACTCCGATCAGTTGTTAACTGGGGCAAGAAATAACTTGTAAATTTGAATGCCTCCAACTGTTATCTTTTAATCACCATAGAGAACCATATTGCCTTCCATCAGCATAGCTAATGCTAACCCCCAGGAGAGTAAATCTTTACGCCTTAGACTCCCGATTTCTACTGACATGAAGTGGAGTGATTATATTGAATCAGTTGATAGGTCTACTGCTAGGAAAGTTAGTTCACTGTGCCGTGCCAAACAATTCTTCTTGTCAGAATCCTTCTTGCACATTTATAAATCTACCTTTCGTCTGTACATTCTGGTCTGGTTTTCCTGTTATATATCTCAAAATTCTAGCTAAAATCCAAAGAAGGGTCTGTAATGAAATTAGTCCTGACATGGCATCTCGAGTTCAGTCACTTTATCACCGCCGTATCGTAGCTTCCCTGTGTCTTTTGTCATAAAAAAAAATTTTTCATGGCAGTTGTTCTGATGATACCTCGACCATATGAATTTAAGCGCAGTGCTAGATTGATTGCTACGTCATGTCGGTTTATTGCTGATGTAACCGTAAGTCCTATGCTAACAGTTTCTTCTATTACACTTCTCGCTTGTGAAATTCTCTTCCGGCTTCCCAGTGACCTATGATCTTCAAGAATTTAAATGCAACATCAATCTTGTGTCTTCCAGGAACCAGTTCTTCATTGTCCTTTCTCTTAACTAATGTTTTCTCGTTTTTTTTTATCTCTCTCACTAATGGAGGTTGACAAACGTCGGTAGATTGATTAAATATTTGGACATAAAAAAAAAATTTAAAGAAATAGAAATACCTATAATAAAACAATAAAATACACATTTGCACGGACGCACTTACACATTACAGATTTATATATAACTTGCTCAATCCTCGCCATCTCACTGACAGTAGACTGATAAATTTTCAAGTTTAAATTGTTTGCTCATTTAAAATATTTTCGTGTAAACTATAAATTCAGTTTAAATACGAACAGTCATTTAAAAACTATTTTTCCTCGGGAATCACACGAGAGACATGATTTAATAATAACGAATACCGTAGTTCAGTACGGAAATGCGTACAACTCAATACAACGCCTCACGACCCACTTTGCGACCACACTTCCTATGGTGATTTTCTAGACGTAGCTTAGATGTGGCACAAGGCCGAAAGTAGAGAGCACCCAGTGAGGATCGAACTCACTATTCAGTCGTAATTGATCTAGCGAGACAAGCTTGCTAACCTTTACACCACGTCGAAGTACTCAAATGGCGATTTTCCAAGCAGAAAATATGGCGCACCCAGTGGGAATCGAACTTACTACTGTCGTAATTGTTCTAGCGAGACAAATTTGCTAACAATTACACTACGTCGAAGTGCTCTATGATTTTCTATGCGTAGCTTAGATTTCGCACAAGGCCGGATGTACGGGGCACCCGGTGACGTTCAGGCTCATCTCGAATGGACGAGTCTATGTTCAACAATTTAGTGTAGAGTAGACGGCCGTCTTTCTACACCACACTGAAAAGGAATGGAAGAAGAAGAAAATGTCCACTCCAAAGAATTTATTTTTTCCTGGGAAGGAATGAGAGAAAAGAGTGAACGTTCTCTCAGGCGCAAATAATATACTAAAGGTGAAAATAATACACCATTAAATAATATACCATTAAATACTATTAAATAATATACCATTAAATGAATTAGAAGATTAATAACTTTTAGCCTCTATTTTCTTCTTGAGACATATAATAGGTTTAATTGGTTTGAAAATTAGTGAAATGTTTATATTTTAATTCTAATAACTGATGAGAGCTTTCTTCTTTGGTACGGCGACTTCAGATTATCTCCATTTTACCACTGAAATTTTTAAGTGTAAGCGCAAGTTCTATTCTAATCGTTTCTTCTTCTTCGCACTTCTCACCTGTGGAACTCTCTTCAGGCTTCTTTCTTTCGTGTCAACTACGATCTTCAAAAAATTAAATGCTGCATCACTTGACATCTTTTGTCTACTGGAATTCAGGTCTTTTAATGTTATATCTCTACAAAACGTTTTTTTCGGTATATTACACTCTCAGTAAACTATTCCGTCTTAGTCGAATTATAGACTTGCCAGGGGTGAAATAATTAAAAAAAAAAAAAAAAAAAATTAAGGCGGGATGAATTTAACTTTTTAAAAAGTGAACATTCAGTGGTGACGTTATTTTTTCTGGATTATTTATTGTTGGGAATTCCTTTTTCAAAAAAATCACTTTAAAAACGTTAGGGTTTCAGTGAATTTCTCTGTCGACAGGAAAATCACAGAGAGAGAGAAATGCGGAAACAAAAAAATACATTTGTGAACGATTTCCTTAAGTAAAATCGTATATTCAGTTCCGTTTACATCGTGCGACGATGTATCAAAGGAGTGTAAGCAAGGGTTCTCTAGGCTTTTCAAATAATACCCCTAGTCTTTTGTGGCAAATCCAAATGCTGTCTGGAATAGTAATGCCGTTGAGAATCTTTCAACCGATAAAATAAGCGTACCAATTAAAATAAGCTCTCCGCCGGGGATTTATTATAATAAAACGAAGGCTTCCTGAAACTTTATTCATGACTATGGTCTAAAATATAAGTGGTCCGATCAAGAAGTATTGGGACTGTTATTATGGTAATGGAGCTAAAGTACACATAGTGAAGCCACTAGGCATAGATTGACCTTGAAGACTGCCACGCATGCGCACTAAATTATAACGTCGCTTATTTTCATTGTTTATAACAATGCCTGGAAGGGTGTAGAGTGTGATTATCTAACCACACCACAAAGATTTCATCAGTGACTTGTGCAGCAGTTTTGGGCTAAACGCAAAATTCCCCGGACATCCAACAACCACCATATACCCCAGATCTGGCGACTTTTTCATCTTTCCGAAAACCGAATCCCACTGGAAAGGAACAAGAAGTCGGAGTAAACCAAGAAAATGCTTCCATCGATGGAATACACGCTGGATAAATGTGTCGCTTCAGAAAGAGTGACAGGACCCAAAGATGTGTGTGTTCAATACCTGGTTAAGGGAGTGGAGAACTTGGAAAGGGGAATTAACAAGAGATAACTGATAACCATTAGATATGGCACGTGGAACTAGAACAATCTACCTCAGTGAGCGAAATAAAGGGTTCAGTTCGACATTCCAACGACCTAAAGCGTACATCGTCCGAAACGTTATGATACATATGGCAACGAAGATGAGGAAAATAGTCCGAATAATGTAAATAATCTACATAATACCTCATCTCAGAAATATAGACAGATACAAAACGGTCCTTGATGTAATATAACATTCATATATATATATATATATATATATATATATATATATATATATATATATATATATATGAGACAAGAGGAAAAACTATTCTTAACCGACGCTTTTCGTCCTCTGAGGGATTTTATCAAAAAAAAAAAACGAAGCTAAGGATTTATTTCGTTGCACATGTTTATATACAAGTGCAAAGATGTAATGGGTTTATTAAGGCTCTTAAATTTGAGAACGCTCATAAATATTCATCAGATGGTTGAAAGGTCAGTCGAAATATGTGGAGCTTACACCGTGCCAAAATTCAAAGTCTGGTAATACAAAAGTAAGCGAGTGATATTCAATATATATATATATATATATATACATACACATATACATATATATACACACACATATATATATATATACACATATATATATATATACACACATATATATATATATATACACACACATATATATATATACACACACATATACATATATATATATATACACACATACATATATATATACACATATATATATATATACACACACACATATATATATATACACACACACATATATATATATATACACACGCATATACATATATATAAAACCACATATACATATATATATATATACACACACACATATAAATACACACATATACATATATATACACATATATATATACACACGCATACATTTATATATATATATATATATGCACACACATACACACACACATATAAATATATTTTACTTTGGCTTGGGATGGAAGTCAAAAACATGAGGAAATAGATTCAACCGTTTTCTCTTGATTTCTTAACCTTTTGTGGTCGTGTCTGTTGGCTTGGGAAACTAGTCATAAAATATCACACTTATCAAATAAGAAAGTCATTTACTCAAACAGAAAATTCTCGAGAGTGCCTCTATCGAATCATATCAAAATATAAATCTACGCCTCGGTTTCTTTCCAATCTCACCTTTTCTGTAAGAATTACTACTTTCTAAATTTCTTCAATTATTTTTAATCTTCTTTGCATGTGGATGAGGCTACTACACTTCTATTTTCTACTAGTATGTTTCGAATGGAGTCTGGTAGGTTTTCATTTAAACACACACAAAAACTTACCAGACTCTATCCAAAAGCTTAATCGCAATACCTTGTCAGTCGTCCTTAACGAATCATACATACACACACATTATAGATAGATAGATAGATAGATAGATAGATAGATAGATAGATAGATAGATAGATATAGTAGAATCCCTCATATCCGGATCCCGTACATCCGGACATGATTTTGACGTGTAGATTTGAACTATTTGGGTGATATGTAACTGATCTGAAATTTCTGTTTTTCGGGATATTCACTTTGGATAATTGCTTAGGCCTATTTCACCCTAATGGCTTGTATTGGTGCAAAAGATGATGGGAATAAGGGGAAAAGAACAACTTTGGAGTTATTGCAAAAATTGGACATTTTAAACAGACTAGACACTGGTGAAAGTTCCTTGTAACTAATGGCTAAGTTCAACATAGGAAAGTCAACATTGTATGATATAAAATCCTCCAAAGAAACTATTCTTCAGCGTTCACACTGTCACAATGAACAAGGAAATAAAAAAACATGACTGTGATGAAACCTGGACTGAAATTGAAAAAGCTATTGAAAGGGTTTTCAATTTTATGGAAAGAAAGCGAGCATTCAGCTATGACGATTGCAATAATGCACGCTGAGTTAAAAAGTGTCTTTCGTTTAAAAAATTTCAAGAACAAAAGCAAAACGAAATGCAGCAAAAGTTGAGAATGACGTTAGGAGAGAAAGAATCATCATACAGCAGCAATTAAAAAAATACTGATTACATTATTTATTTTGCATACGTGACATACTTAATTTAATGAATTTTCATTAACATTACATAATTTATTTCTTTTCTTTAAAATCAACTCCGTTATATTTCACTCACCATTAGCTCATTTTGTTTACTATAAAACATTGAAAATAAATGTTAAACCTGATTTCAGTTCTTTTATTTTAATCTAAATATGACCCCTCATATCCGGACTTTGTAACTAATTCCTCATATCCGGAAGGCCTTCTTAGTCAAGTTGTCAGGGATTCCACTGTATAAGAGAGAGAGATATTCACATGCGAGCGCGCGCATACACTATGTATGTGTGTGTGTGTTCGCGCGTGCGTCTTATGTTATCTTTGTAATTTATAAAATACCTGAAAAGAATTTGTTAGCTTACTAATATTGCAACACACTGACGTAAAGTTCTGTAAATGATATGTTTAGAACTCAAAAGCATATTGAAAAATGAGAGACTGTAATTCGCTGAGTTACCCAAAAGCCTTCTCTGTATTAAGCGAAAGTCTTTACATATTATCTGAGGAACGACGTCAAAGGATCAAATGACGCTAATCAACATTTTGAAGTTGGAAATCGAGTTGATTAGCTCCAAAATCACACACTTTCTGGGCTACAACTCGGTTAATGAGTGACGTCATAGAAATATGTACGCGATTCTCAACAGCGGGCGTTTACTGTAGTAATAATAATAATAAAAAATAATCAAAACGAACAAGCAGTCTTGCCGTAAATAGAATCTGATAGTTTTAGGCAACATACAGTGAAACAAGCAAATGACCTTAACCTATTAATTGTTCATCAGTAGATATAAAGGTGTATTTTTTTTTTTCTTTAGAAGCCTATAATTAAAACCGGATTTTACGGTGGACACTACTGAGTTAAACCAGGTGTCTCCAAATTGGCAGATATCGAGACGACCTGCCAAAAGGTCGATAAATGGTTGCGTGTCGAAAAGGAAAGTTGACAAATGCCGGGAGATTGATTAAATATTTGGACCAAAAACTGACATTCGTTTAAGTTATGAAATAAATAAAAATACATAAAAATAAAATAATAAAATACACATTTGCAGGAACGCACAAACACATTCCTGATTTATATATAACTTGTTCAGTCCTTACCGTCTCGCGTACAGTAAAATGATAGGTTTTCAAATTTAAATTGTTTGTTCATTTAAAATACTAACCTCCCACGTAAAAAATATACTCAGTTTAAATACGAAGAATAATTAAAAAAAAATTATTTCTCCTAACAAATGTTTAATCACATGGTTTAATAATACAATAATAGCGAATATTGTAGTAGAGTGCGGCAATGCGTATGACTCAACGTTAAAGATTTTTAATTTTTTTATTTTATAGAACAGTTCTGTTGACAGGTTTTTGTTCCTTTGCTTATCAGGAGGCAGCCAAAAATTGATTTCCCTTCTGTATCCTTATTCTGACTTCTGGATGAATTTTTTTCCTGTCAGTTCGTCTTGGTTGAAATATTTGGTCCTTGTTTCAAAATTTGACCACCTTTAAAATTTGAAACCTTTTTACGATATCAGCAGGCTCCGTCCTCTTGATAACTCTTTCCGCCTTGAAATCTGACTAAATCCTGCTCTTATCTGCTGGCCAGTCTCTTTATATAAGAAATGAAAAGACTCCAGATACACCTTAAAATTTACGAGGTTATAAGCCCACATTTTTGATTATATTACTTTTTTTTTTAATTCAAAAAATGAATCTGCAACAATTCACCTGGACAGAAATAATTTCCTTAACCGCCAATTCTAAAACTAAGAGTTGAAAAAAAAAAAAACAATATAAAAAATTTTTTTTTAGAAAACTCTTTCTCTATTTTTGATTATGCTTCTCGAGGGGCGGGGGTAGCCAAAAATTGATTTCCATTTTGGGTCCTTATTCTATGTTTTGGATGAATTTTTAAGCTGTTTGTTCATTTAAAATACTAGCCTTCAACATAAAAAATATACTCAGTTTAAATACGAAGTCATTAAAAAATTATTTTTCCAAAGAAATGTTTAATCACATTGTTTAATAATACAATAATAATCAATATCAGCAATGCGTACGACTCAGCACTACACTCTGTGGCCACCCTTCCTATGAACAGACGTCCCTAATACATAGAGAGTGAACGAGTCTATATTCAACAAGAATGTCGAGAAAATCGGTCGCATTTCTACACAACACTGGGAAGAAATGGAAGAGAGAAAGTTCACTCTCTTTTCCCGGAGGTTAAAAAAGCCGCAAACAAACAAGACTCTCAACTACTAGGGGAAATATAAAAGGACAAACATTTATTACAAAACATATTAAAACAATAAAGAGAATACAATATTTTACAAGACGGGATTGCACAAGAGTTTCCTTTTATACACCCTATTTAAAAAGTCAAGCAGGATAAGAGATCAAGAAATATACAAGTGATTTTAAAAGATTTCAAAACAATCTTCGAAAAAGGAGAAAAACTTTGAAAAATAAATACAAATTTTGGATAAGGCAGAAAATACTTTTTGAAAAAAAAAAAAAAAAAAAGGTGCACCCTCCCCCGTATAGAAAGACGAAAAAAATCACAGAACGAAGGGAGCTTAGACAATTTCTAACTGCCGATGTCACGGGGGACCTTTTTATAATTTTTCTTTTATAGAACAGAATCCTAATAACAGGTTTAGTTCACTTTTGATTGTGCTTCTCAGGAGGTAACCAAAAATTGATTTACATTTTGGAACCTTGTTCTGCCATTTGGATGAATTTTTAAACTGTTTGTTCATTTAAAATACTAACCTTCCACATAAAAAATAAATTTAAATATGAAGAGTCATTAAAAATTATTTTTCTGAAGAAATGTTTAATCATATGGTTTAATAATACAATAATAGCGAATATCGTAGTTCAGTACGGCAATGCGTGCGACTCAACGCTACGCATTTTTAAATGTTTTATTTTATAGAACAGTTCTGCTGACAGGTTTTTGTTCCTTTGCAAATGCTTATCAGGAGGTAGCCAAAAATTGATTTCCCTTCTGGGCCCTTATTCTGCCTTCTGTATGATTTTTTTTTTTTTTGTCAGTTCATCTTGGTTGAAATGTTTGGTTCTTGTTCGAAGATTTGTAAACCTTCTTTCGCAGCCAGCAGGCTCTTTCCGCTTGTAGGACTTATCACTCCCTTCTGCTGTCTAACCATCTTAAAATTTGATTACATTCTGATGCTTATCTGCTGGTCCTTCTCTTTATATAGTTAATGAAACGGCTCCAGATTTCCATTTCAAAATTTACGATAGCATCAGCAGATGCTTTCGACTGAACAATAAATGGAAATAGTACATATTTTTTTCAATTCAAAAAATTAATTTGCAACAATCCACTTAAACAGAAATAATTTTGGTGCTTCTTTAACCGCCAATTCTAAAAAAAGGATTTTGTACAAACACAATGTAACAATTTTTTATAAACCATCTGGCTTTCTTTAAAATAAACTTCTGTAAAATGTACGTGTCATAGAGAAACCTTGACGATTTTTGTTTGTTTATACTTTTTAATTAATTATTAATTTTAATTATTTTATTAACTAATACAATATTTATACCATTGAATAAATTAGAAGGATAGTAACTTTTTGCTCTATTATCTTCTTGAGACAAACAAAAGACCCTGTTTAAATGGGGTGGGAAATTAGCAAAATGTTTCTATTTTAATTCTAATATCTGATTAGAGCTTTCCTCTTTGCTATGACGACTTCACGAATTTAAGCGCAGTACTAGATTGGCAGAAAATTCTCCATTTTTAATCTTGAAATTGCTAAGTGTAAGCGCAAGTTTTATTCTAATCGCTTTTTCTCTCACACTTCTCATCTGTGGAACTTTCTTCACGCTTCTTTCTTTCGTGTCAACTACGATCTTCAAAAACTTAAATGCAACGTCAGTTGTCATCTTTTGTCTACTTGAATTCTGATCTTCTAATGTATACTTTCCAAAACGCTTTCTCAGTATATTCCATTCTCAGTAACCCATTGTGTCTTAGTGGCTTTAACGCCTTGCCTCGGGTGAAATTACTTTACGAAAATATTTCGAAATTCTTCATTTAATTTTTCGTGTTATTCTCATACATTTCAACCCTCGAATGAAAAAAAATTAATTATTAATTATATTTTTGGCACCTGCCTGTGTTTCGATGAAGGAGTCACGGATTCTATGAAGTGGTCGATGTTCTAAAAAGTTTTGGGGATCTGAAATGTTTGGTCTAAATGATGTAATGGTCTAAAAAGTTCGGGTTGAAAGAAAAAAAAGCATATGTAAATAATTCTAAAATGAAAAAATTTTTATCTGATGACAATTCGGTTTTCCAAATTATGGTATGATGCCTTATCCAAGAATTGCAACTCTGAGTGAATCCTCAAAAAAAATAAAAAATAAATAAAAAATGTCAATTCCTAAATTCAGAATCGAAAAGTCCATTTGTCCATGAAATAGCCACAAATGAAATTGGCTAACCAAAAAACTACTTTCAAATCATAAGAGTCTCGTTTCAGAAATTTAACATGCAATGTAAGAAAGATAAAAAAAATTCTTGGTATCTTGAAAACAGTTTGAAACGCTGAAATGGACTATACCCAGAAAGATACGATAGGCATTCCGACCAGGATTTTTTTTAAATATTACTATAAATAAAGCACTACAGATCACGAATACAAAAAAAATAAATTAAAAAAAACATTTAAGAGAATTTGCTATGTAAATTAATTATAACTTGATCACCCTACGGAAGCCAAAAAAACATATATTATCCTACGGTGTGATTTCTCAAAAGTATTTTTTCATTCGTAATAAATGTTTAATTAATAGTGATATATATAAAAAAAATTATAATATATGATGGAGTAATGGAATGCGGCTCAGATTGCGGAATCGGAGAGCCGAGTTCGAATTCCAGTTGAATTACATTCACTTACGAAAGGTCTGAATCCAACGATTCTGAAGCTATAAGTATAATAGCAGGAGAGACTGGGTTCTATAGCCTTGCGTGGCCACCGGTCTCGGAGAAGGAAAATTGAATTCAAACCAGGCTAGAAAATCCAGAGGGAAGGATCCGAAGCCAGTTAATTACTCAGTAGTATCTAGTATCCCCTGCCTTCTCTCCCCAAACGCCACACACTTGGAATGTAGGGGTAGAAAAAAAGAGGGTTGCTGAATACAGGTTAGTTTCCTGGTAGTCGTCAGTTACAATGAAAACATATATCTACCCAAACACGCGTTTAGAAGCCATTAATTACATAAAAATTAATATATAATATTTTTCTCTTGGGAAAACTAATTTGAAACATTTATTAAAAGCAATTAAATGTAGCTAACATCTACCTCGATACACACGAAAAAAATGGCGGTTTCAAAAAAAAAAAAAAAAAAGACGAAGGAACGCAGTTTCCCTTCTCATTTCCCGAGAGACTTTATTGAAATTTCAGTAAAACATATCAGATATCAGATTTAGAAAAAATCTGGAGCAGTAAAAGTTAAATAAAATACAGTTTCATTTTAAAGCGGTTCACGTTTATGTGATGTGTGCACTCAGATACTAAATAAAGTGAGCTACATTGTAATAAATGGGTGGGGAGAGGGAAAACTAGAAAAACTGTGGAGGGGGTAAATAAAGTGAGCGGGAAATGATTCAAATCCAAATCATTTCTTATGTTGATAATAATTTCTAAGAAGTAAAGTTTTTCTTATGTTTTTATTATATACTGTACCAATGAACACTAATAAATATGTCCCAATCGTCATAAATACGTTGGAGACTGTTATAAGTGGCGGTAATATAGTGTCTAAATAGTCCACCACTAGCAATGGTTTACCTACTTCACGCCGCTGGTGAGTATTGTATTTTGTTGATGTTATAAATATTACAATTTCATTTTCAACCTCTATTTTGGTTATTCCTCATTCAGTGACCTAGGTTACAACAGATAGTGTTGTGTAGGAACCTACCACCCCTCTTGAAGATGAACTCGTCTACAAACAAGGACGTTAAAGAGTGGCATGTCAAAAGACAGTGTAGAAGAAGTTCTGAGCTGAGTTAGTTATAGACTACTCAGGCGATATCTGTACCAACTTACCAACCGAATAAACCCCATTTTATTGTTACATGTTATTTGGCGTTTGTCTTTATTAACCCCAAATTAATATCATAACAGATAGATAGATAGATAGATAGATAGATAGATAGATAGATAGATAGATAGATAGTGTTATATACTGTACCTATGAACACTAATGAGTATGTCCCAATCCTCATAAATACGTTGGACACTATTGTAAGTGGGGGTAATATGGTGTCTATGTAGTTCACCACAAGCAGTGGTTTACCTACTTCCCGCCGCTGGCGAGTATTGTATTTTGTTGATGTTATAAAGATTACCATTTCATTTTCAACCACCGTTTGGTTATTCCTCATTCAGTAACATTTTCTAGATTACAACAGATTTTGTATTTTTCGTTTGTTTTTGTTTTTAATTGCAATATTAGTATACAGATGAAAATAACTAAAGAGAAAAGGAAAGTATACTCAAACACTTGTGTTCACTAAATTGAACGTAGTTAAGAGAAAAATATCGAAGTTAAACACTTATTAGTTATATATATATATATATATATATATATATATAATATATATATATACACACAATATATATACAATATATATATACATATATATATATACAAAACAAAATAAATATATATATAAATATTCACACACACAATATACATATATATACATACTCATATATACACATAATATAAACATACACATATATATATACACAGAATATAAACGTACATATATATACGCGCACACACAATATAAACATATATATATATATTCACACAATATGGACATATATACACATGTATATGGGCACACACACGATATGAACATATATACACTTTTATATAAGCAGACACACAATATGGACATATATACACTTTTATATAAGCACACACACGCTATATGAACATATATACACATTTATAAGTACACACACACACTATATGAACATATATACGCATTTATATAAGTACACCCACACTATATGAACATATATACACATTTATATAAGTACACCCACACTATATGAGCATATATACACATTTATATAAGCACACACACTATATGAGCATATATACACATTTATATAAGCACACACACTATATAAACATACGTCCACATTTATATATACACACACTATATAAACATATATACACATTTATATATGCACACACACACATTATGAACATATATACACATATACATGCAAACACACATTATGCACATTTATATGCATGCACACAATATAAACATATGCACATATATGAAAATATATATATATGCATACGCACAATATAAACATATATGCACATATATATAAAAACACACTATCTGCATACAAGCACGAACACACATGAACATATTTCTCACACACACATATGTATACATACTGAAAACATTAATAAATAAGATTTCTACATTTTATTTTTATTCAATATCTTTTAATGGAGTTATACAACAAGCATGTTTTATCAGAAATAAACTTTTTTTTTAATTTTTGTTTTCATATCCCCATTATTATTATTAATAATAATAATAATAATAATAATAATAATAATAATAAAACACTACAAATAATGTCTTTTTATTTATTTTGTTAACTTTCATAACAGTTAATAGGTGTGGTTCAGTTTGTTGTGGAAATTCATTAAATTGACCCCCCCACAGTACAGAAGCCCAAACAAATAAGCTCATAGCACATTTCTTAAAATGTAAAAACAAATAAATCAAATTTCGAAATTCTTAATCTAATGTGCTTAATATAAAAAAAAACACATTACTATTTAAACTCTCCAGATTACAAATTTAAAAAATATATATTATTTTTTTTAATTTTAATTTTTGAGATATCACGTCGAGCAGATTTCTTTTTAGATTCCGTAAAACATCAGGAAGAGGCAGCTGTAATTTCTGGGACACGTAATGAAAAAGGAGGGCTTGGAGAATCTGATACTCACTGGGCGGATAGAGGGAAAACGAGACAAGAGAAAACAACGCGTGACATACCTAGCGGGCTTAAAGCAAATGTATGACAGGACAGGGGTTGGGAGAAGTAGCAAAAGGACAAAACATATTGAGAACTACAAGGGATAGGAGGAAGTGGGGAGCCATAATCGCCTACGTCCTGCATGGACACGGCACATAAAAGAAGAAGAAGGGGGCATTTACATGAACTCACTTAGCAAACTGGACACCCCTATAAAATTCCATAAAATCTAATATTTTGGTCAGGAAGGCTTTGTTATATGGCGGGTGGGATTAAGTAATTATTATTTTTAGTCGTTCTGCTTTTTAATCTTATTTATTATACAACTTCTTTTTCGCTTACCAACGCAGACAGTTTTCTAACTTTTATTTTATATTAGCAGCCAGTCTAATGTAAGAAAAACTTGTGAAAGGCAACGGGAAACCTCACGTGGACGATTTTACAAGAGAATCTTAACTTGAACCTTCATTTTTCAGCGATTAAAATAAAAGGAATTATTTACTATTATTACCTACTCATTGGACATCGACACCACGAGGAAATGCTCGCTTACTACCGAGATCAAGTGACAACTAGTCGCTAACACTTTTTCAAGTAGCCTTGCTGTTTTAACAATGCGATGGTCCAGATTGTTACAATTCTCCCTGTAACTTCCACTTTTTTTCCATTCTTAGCTATTACAGACTGTTCCCAGTGCTCCGGCAATGACAAGTAAGACTGCCATACCCTCATGTCCTACAACTTACACGGCTTTCTGGCAAGGTTAAGAAAACACCTTTCCGTTCGCTTATTAGTTTGTCGTACACTAAAAAAGTAAATATGTTATCTTCGTAAATAATCCCCTTTTTTTTGTTCCGCGTGTCTTGTTGAGAGAATTAAATAAAAAGTAAAAAACATACACTTAAAAAATTAAAACTAAAAACGTAAAACACACGAAGAGGGCTCGCTATTAACAGAAAAATATCGTTAAAAAAATAAAGTTCTGTGTTTAAGGAAAAAGCACAGATTTTCTTATCAAAAGTGGTCATCTCTGTGTTGCAAGTTCGGGGAATTTCAAAGTTTTTAAAAGATTTAAACGTTCTACCAGTTAGGTCAGATTTAAACTTAAAACAAAAAAAAACAAAAAAGAAAAGAAAGAAAATGAAAACTATTTAAACTTTAACCCCTACCTACTTGGAATATCGGTAACGGGGAAATTTATTTCGAAAAACATTGATTTGCATAAAAAGATTTCGAGCGTTTTTATCGCTTTTACCTCGTCTCATCACGCTAACTTTTTTTTTTCTTTTACAAACCCGTACAAGTATTAATTTCAGAACTGACACAGTAAAGGAATAACGAATCCTTATTTTTCAGAAACTAAATAAACTTTAAGAGATCAAAAGAGCTCAAAGTTTAATACAAAATCGATCATCTCAGTGCAAAAATATAAATAAATAAAAAGTTACAATTATACGTACCTAATTTTTTTAGTGACTTCTCCTTTGAAGAGAGTTAAGTTTTGTTTTTTTTTTTAATTTTTAAAGAAGAAAAATTCCAGATGTTCTTCTTTTTTTCTGTAAAAATGGTCGGTTTAAAAAGCATCAAAATTTTAACAATCCCATCAGTTCATTTAAGGCTGATAAATATTGTTTAAATTCCGATAATGGCTTGCAGAAATAAAATAATGCTACGTCTGTTGTTGCTTGTTGAATAAATGAAAAAAAAAGTTGTGTTTTTTCAAAGCGTCAGAATGTCGACAAGAAAGAGAGATTTTGTTTTTTAGTTTTTGTTTTATTTTTTTAGGCCAAATATAAACCGTTTGTATTTGATGATCATTATGTTTTCGCCTGAAGACGAGGCTCTGCCTCCATTTTAGCTGGGAGCTGAGCACAGTGCGTCACGTCGAAACGAATCGACAGCATTTATTACTGAGGAAGTTAAGTAAATAGTAGCAGTGGTGCAGTCAGGAGTAACAGATATTTTAGCAATGGCAGCGGTTGTCGTTGTAAGGCGGCGTGGGGGTGTCTTCGAGTCTTAAAGTATAAAAAGGGGAAAAAAAAAAAGAAGAGGCAAATAATGTATACGTGGTGGTCGGGAAAGAAAGAGTAAAGTATATATTTAAAAATAAAAAGAGACTAGAGAGAGATAGGATGAAAGTATAGAAAGAAGAAAGTGAAACGATTAAGAGAAAGGCGATGAAGAGAAAAAGGAAAGTTGAAGAAAGAAAGATAGTAAAATGAAGAAGAGGAAAATAGTTTGGCATTAAAAGACGGAAGTGGAAGGAGAATAAAAAGTTGAACGATGGAGGTGGGTTGGCAAAAGTATTCATAGAGAGAACTCAACGAAAGATACAAAGAAAATGTGTGCATGTGTGTGCGCGTGTGTGTATCACTCGTGGGGAAAAAAAAAGAGTTCGAAGCGTTTTTCTTCCATTGTGTTTTGTTTATCGTTTATTTTGTTTTTGCGGCCGCTTTCAACCAATGGATTTGCGAAATCTCATTGTATATTGACGTAAAATATGTAGAAGGTAGTAGGTATATACCTTATTAAGCAGTAAAAGTCTGTAAAAATGGGGAGGAGACGAGAAAAAGAAACTGTAAGGAAGTACAAAGAAAGATACATATAAAAATGAGAAAAAAGAAGAAAAAGTACTTGAAAACTAAAAAAAAAAAAAGACACACGCAAGAAGGAAATAACAATAAAAAGAACATTTTAAAAAAATTAGAGCAAAAGAAAATAAAATTAATAAAGAAAAAGTACAGATAATGAACAATGAAAAGCCCTAAAAAAACTGTGAGAACGGTAAATTCATGAAAATGTCTCATGCCATTCTTAAACAAAGTCGGAAATTCCCAAAGCCAAAGCCCAAGTGATTAGCAAAACTTATGAACAGATATTAACAAAAGCAAGCCACGTTTAAAAAGAATGGTTAACGAGTCCAGTCGCATTGATCATTACTACTGAGTGAAAAAATCAGTCCTTAGTGGGTGCCCTATGAGTGTAGTCTTGTGCCAAACCAAAAATGTGTGGTGTATGGTTAACGAGCTAATCTGAATGATCATTAATACTGAATAAAAAGATCGGTCCTCGCAGGGTGCCCAATTATTGCGGCCTTGTGCCAAACTAAAAATGTAGGCCTTTGTGGGGTATAAAGGGTTAACGAGCTATTCTGACTGATTATTAATACTGAATAGAAAGATCGGTCTTCACTGGGTGCCCAGTGATTGTGGCCTTGTGCCAAACTAAGAATGTACGTTTTTGTGTTGTGTAATGGTTAACGAGCTATTCTGACTGATCATCAATACTGAATAGAAAGATTGGTCCTCACTGGGTGCCCCATGAGTGTGCTAAAACTAAAAATGTACGTTTTGTGTCGTGTAAAGGTAACAACTGTCGCATTTTATTAAGAAGGAGAGGGTCAGGGTTAATCACCCGAGCCTGAAACGTCTCCAGTTAGAAAATACTGAAAGAACGTCGGCATGTCTCAGATACGCGTGTGACAACGCTTTTAAACGTGCCAGATACCGTCGGTCGATAGATAAATAGAAGAAGTTAACATTAATCAAGAGAATGAGGAAGGAAGAAAAAAATCATAATATATAACTAAAACAAACCAAACTATTAGTCTGTTAGGTACCTATTCTATTGTAATGGACGCTCCCATAGAAAATAAGTAGGAGTAGCAGTGGCAAGTCTGGCAGAATGGCATCTCGCGGTCTTTGACTGCGGACGCCTCCTGTCGAACTCTCTGCGTAAGCAAGAGGAACCGGACGAGGCTTTGCCGAAGGGCAAAGTTTCGTCCGGGAGGTGGACAGGGCCTGAACCCGTCTAATCGGCTTCAAAAAGGCTATTTTTTTTTTTGGCCGAGCCTACGGGCTCGGGAAAACCCACATAAAAACCGGCCTTGTGCCATATTCTTTCCGTGGGTGAAAAGATAAATACCGAATGGCATCTCGCGGTCTTTGACTGCGGACTGTCGAACTCTCTGCGTAAGCGAGAGGAACGGACGAGGCTTTGCCGAAGGGCAAAGTTTCGTCCGGGAGGTGGATAGGCCTGAACCCGTCTAATCGGCTTCAAAAGGCTATTTTTTGGCCGAGCCTACGGGCTCGGGGAAACCCACATAAAAAAAACCGGCCTTGTGCCATATTCTTTCCGTGGGTGAAAAGATAAATACCGAATGGCATCTCGCGGTCTTTGACTGCGGACGCCTCCTGTCGAACTCTCTGCGTAATAGAGGAACCTGACGAGGCTTTGCCGAAGGGCAAAGTTTCGTCCGGGAGGTAAGGGCCTGAACCCGTCTAATCGGCTTCAAAAGGCTATTTTTTGGCCGAGCCTACGGGCTCGGGGAAACCCACATAAAAAACGGCCTTTGTGCCATATTCTTTTCAGTGGGTGAAAAGATAAATACCGAATGGCATCTCGCGGTCTTTGACTGCGGACGCCTCCTGTCTAACTCTCTGTAAGAAAAGAGGAACCCGGACGAGGCTTTGCCGAAGGGCAAGGTTTCGTCCGGGGAGGTGGACAGGGCCTGAACCCGTCTAATCGGCTTCAAAGGCTATTTTTTGGCCGAGCCTACGGGTATGGGGAAACCCACATATAAAAACGGTTTGTGCCATATTCTTTTCAGTGGGTGAAAAGATAAATACCGAATGGCATCTCGCGGTCTTTGACTGCGGACGCCTCCTGTCTAACTCTCTGCGTAAGAGAGGAACCCAGACGAGGCTTTGCCGAAGGGCAAGGTTTCGTCCGGGGAGGTGGATAGGGCCGGAACCCGTCTAATCGGCTTCAAAAGGCTATTTTTTGGCCGAGCCTACGGGCTCGGGGAAACCCACATAAAAAAACGGCCTTGTGCCATATTCTTTTCAGTGGGTGAAAAGATAAATACCGAATGGCATCTCGCGGTCTTTGACTGCGGACGCCTCCTGTCGAACTCTCTGCGTTAGTAGAAGAGGAACCGGACGAGGCTTTGCCGAAGGGCAAGGTTTCGTCCGGGGAGGTGGATAGGGCCTGAACCCGTCTAATCGGCTTCAAAAGGCTATTTTTTGGCCGAGCCTACGGGCTCGGGGAAACCCACATAAAAAACGGCCTTGTGCCATATTCTTTTCAGTGGGTGAAAAGATAAATACCGAATGGCATCTCGCGGTCTTTGACTGCGGACGCCTCCTGTCTAACTCTCTGCGTAAGAGAGGAGGAACGGACGAGGCTTTGCCGAAGGGCAAGGTTTCGTCCGGGAGGTAGACGGGGCCTGAAACCCGTCTAATCGGCTTCAAAAGGCTATTTTTTTTTGGCCGAGCCTACGGGCTCGGGGAAACCCACATAAAAACCGGCCTTGTGCCATATTCTTTTCAGTGGGTGAAAAGATAAATACCGAATGGCATCTCGCGGTCTTTGACTGCGGACGCCTCCTGTTCAACTCTCTGCGTAAAGGGAACCGGACGAGGCTTTGCCGAAGGGCAGGTTTCGTCCGGGAGGTAGACAGGGCCTGAACCCGTCTAATCGGCTTCAAAAGCTATTTTTTTGGCCGAGCCTACGGGCTCGGGGAAACCCACACAAAAAACCGGCCTTTGTGCCATATTCTTTTCAGTGGGTGAAAAGATAAATACCGAATGGCATCTCGCGGTCTTTGACTGCGGACGCCTCCTGTCTAACTCTCTGCGTAAGAGAGGAACCCGGACGAGGCTTTGCCGAAGGGCAAGGTTTCGTCCGGGGAGGTAGATAGGCCTGAACCCGTCTAATCGGCTTCAAAAGGCTATTTTTTGGCCGAGCCTACGGGGGGGAAACCCACATAAAAAACCGGCCTTGTGCCATATTCTTTTTCCGTGGGTGAAAAGATAAATACCGAATGGCATCTCGCGGTCTTTGACTGCGGACGCCTCCTGTCTAACTCTCTGCGTTAGCAGAGAGGAACCGGACGAGGCTTTGCCGAAGGGCAAGGTTTCGTCCGGGAGGTGGACAGGGCCTGAACCCGTCTAATCGGCTTCAAAAGGCTATTTTTTGGCCGAGCCTACGGGCTCGGGGGAAACCCACATAAAAAATCGGCCTTGTGCCATATTCTTTTCCGTGGGTGAAAAGATAAATACCGAATGGCATCTCGCGGTCTTTGACTGCGGACGCCTCCTGTTTAACTCTCTGCGTTAGCAGAGAGGAACCTGACGAGGCTTTGCCGAAGGGCAAGGTTTCGTCCGGGGAGGTGGACAGGGCCTGAAACCCGTCTAATCGGCTTCAAAAAGGCTATTTTTTTGGCCGAGCCTACGGGCTCGGGGAAACCCACATAAAAAACCGGCCTTGTGCCATATTCTTTTCCGTGGGTGAAAAGATAAATACCGAATGGCATCTCGCGGTCTTTGACTGCGGACGCCTCCTGTCGAACTCTCTGCGTTAGCAGAGAGGAACCCGGACGAGGCTTTGCCGAAGGGCAAGGTTTCGTCCGGGAGGTAGACAGGGCCTGAACCCGTATAATCGGCTTCAAAAGGCTATTTTTTGGCCGAGCCTACGGGCTCGGGGAAACCCACATAAAAACCGGCCTTGTGCCATATTCTTTTCCGTGGGTGAAAAGATAAATACCGAATGGCATCTCGCGGTCTTTGACTGCGGAAGGCTCCTGTCTAACTCTCCGCGTTAGCAGAGAGGAACCCGGACGAGGCTTTGCCGAAGGGCAAGGTTTCGTCGAGGGGAGGTAGACAGGGGCCTGAACCCGTCTAATCGGCTTCAAAAGGCTATTTTTTTGGCCGAGCCTACGGGCTCGGGGAAACCCACATAAAAAACCGGCCTTGTGCCATATTCTTTTCCGTGGGTGAAAAGATAAATACCGAATGGCATCTCGCGGTCTTTGACTGCGGACGCCTCCTGACGAACTCTCTGCGTAAGCAGAGAGGAACCCGGACGAGGCTTTGCCGAAGGGCAAGGTTTCGTCCGGGGAGGTAGACAGGGCCTGAACCCGTTTAATCGGCTTCAAAAGGCTATTTTTTTTGGGCCGAGCCTACGGGCTCGGGGAAAACCCATAAAACCGGCCTTGTGCCATATTCTTTCCGTGGGTGAAAAGATAAATACCGAATGGCATCTCGCGGTCTTTGACTGCGGACGCCTCCTGACGAACTCTCTGCGTAAGCGAAGAGGAACCCGGACGAGGCTTTGCCGAAGGGCAAGGTTTCGTCCGGGGAGGTAGACAGGGCCTGAACCCGTTTAATCGGCTTCAAAGGCTATTTTTTGGCCGAGCCTACGGGCTCGGGGAAACCCACATAAAAACTGGCCTTGTGCCATATTCTTTTCCGTGGGTGAAAAGATAAATACCGAATGGCATCTCGCGGTCTTTGACTGCGTACGCCCTCC